ACTGGCTGATCGGTTGAACTCTCTGCCTTCGGGCGGAGAAGAACCCGAACGAGGCTACGCCGAAGGGCGGAGTAAAGAAACCGCCCGTGTACGTATAGAAAATGAATTCAACATATATACAAAAATAGAAAGGGGTGTAAGACAATGATGTATCCTATCACCGGACTTGTTCAATTTATACAGCGATGCGATTCTGAGAGAATGAGAAATCTGTGGGAATTCATTATTGGTGGACACAATCTAACAACATAAGTTATGCAGATTACACAGTAAATGTTCAAGGGGCGCTATAATTTTTCCCGAGTAGAGAAACGGTTTAATTTGAACACTAACTGGAAAAAATAACCGTATATTCTACTCCCATTTATCGTTTTACGTATATATTTACAATTCGAGGCGATTCTGAGATAATAAGATATGCAGAAGACACAGAAAGGAAACTAGAAGACCTCCTACAGAAAGAAAGCTAGGAGAAAGGGCTAAGCATCAATTTAGAGTGATGTGTAAACTTAGTGTGAATCTACTAAAATTGTACAGTGCAAAGGTAGCACTCAAAAATTGCAATACGACAGATTCTTTAGTGGCTTTAATCTGAAGGAGACATATTTAGACCGTATGAAAAGCATATATGATGAAGAAAATAAAATGAAACTGGAAGTGGGACAAATTAAGAAGAGCTTTAGTAACATCAGCAATCAAGGAAGAAAAATAGACAATAAAAAAAATAATTGATGAAATTCCTGACATGATGAAAAGAAGACAAAAAACAATGCCAAGTTAGGGCACAGAATATGAGACTCTGTACAAAAAATTGGAGCCGATGCAGGTAAGCTAAAAAAATGTGCAGAAATAGAAAGAATGAGCATCACAGATCAAGCAGATATGCATGAAAAAAAAAGAAAAAGAAAAAGAGATCGAATGCCAGCTATCCTGGGGGAAACTTCGGAGGGAACCAGCTACTAGACGGCTCGATTGGTCTTTCATCCCGACCGGTCGTGGATCGCCATCTTTCGGGTCCCTGGCCGCTCGCTACGCCAGAGTCGGCCGAGTCGTACTCGGAGAAAAAATTACCGACCCGGGGGTGATGCGCCCGCGCGCAGTGCCTAAACTCGACGACCAAAAATCGTGACTAGTTCAAGTTGCGGGATCTCACCGGTGGGCGATGGGAGGAAAGTTTGAGGCTGCGAACGACCCCCGTGAGTTTTCCCCGCCTATCAGGACAAAAAAAGACATGCTCATCAACAGGATGCATAGAATCCAAGCATCGAACGCTGATATTACAGAAAGGAAATAGTTAAGAGATGCAACGAATACAATGCTGAAATTTTCCACGAAAAAAATAAACGAAAAAAACAAAACGCCAATACATATAAATAGCAAAGGACAGGAAATATTAAAATTTGAAGAGGAATTTTCAGTGGCCAAATTGAACAGAAACAAATTGGCCGGGTCAAACGGAATTTTCATAGAGATGCTGGCAGCCTGTGATGATTTCCGCATTGATAAAATTACAGAAATAATAAATGATATATACAAGATTGGTGATATACTGGAAGACCTATTTTCATAGGACTGCCTGAGAATCCACATTAAAACGAATGTGAACTCTATCGGACAATCAGCCTAATGAGCCATATATCAAAACATATCATCCGAAGTTTCATGAATAGAGCGCGCAAAAGAATCAAACCGGAAATAGAACAGTATGTGATATTTATGCTTGGAATGATATCAAAAAGGGCAATGCAAATGCAAAGGAACGTGTACTTGTGTTTTATAGATTATACAAAAAACGTTTGATGAAGTACATCACAATGTACAGTTGAAACCACTTAGCAATCATGACATATTTGGGAAGGAATTAGAATAAACCAGAATCTATACTGGTAGCAAAGCGCATATATACGGATGGAAAATACAAAAATAGTAAGTGTGTAAGACAAGGATGTATAATATGGCCGTACTTATTCAACCTATATACTGAGGCGATTATAAATGAATTAGATATGCAGATGACATAGTTCAGATAGCAGACAAGAAAAGGAAACTACATGAAATCTTTCAGAAGGTAGGGAAGGAAAGCAAGAAGAAAGGACTAAGCATAATTTGCATGGAGACAGAACGCAGAGGTCTTATTAAAAGTAGTCCCAAAATACAAATTGCAGTTACCAAAAACAAACAATTACAACAATATCTGGGAAGTGTGTTAGCAGATGACGAAAAATTAAACCGTGAAAACTAAGCAACAGAAAAATCCTTAGAAACAGAAGAGTACTGAACTGTTATGTAACATTAATCCTTCTATATGACAGCGAATGCCGGACAATCTCCTCACAAATGAAAAAGAGACTTGAAGCAACAGACATGGGGTTCTACAGAAAGATGCTAAGGATAATATAGACTGAATATGTAAGGAACGCCAAAATTGTAGAGAAAATTGAAACAAACAGGAGAATTATACTTAATATCAGAGCGAGAGAGAGAGAGAGAGAGAGAGAGAGTGGGGAGAGAGAGTTTCAATTTCTAGGACACCTACTGAGGAAAGAGGGCTTGGAAAATTTGATACTCGCAGGACAGATTGAAGGCAAGAAGGACGTATGAAAGTAAAGCGCATCCTACTTAGCGAGCTTGAGTAAATGGATATCAACTCCACCAACGGGCATCGGTGACGAAGAGGTGGCAAATTAGACTCGATATAGCGCTACTCGAACACATATTCCGTGTTGCCTCATAACGTAACTGTCCGGGTTTCAATTCTCGGTAGTGGATGCGCACTGCTGATGTGTCCCAAATATAGGACGAAACGGCAGTCCAGTGCTTTCTGCATTCTGTTGAGGTTTCCTCTAGACTCGACGAATTATATATATATATATATATATATATATATATATATTGCAAGTATTTTGGCAGCATGTTTTCACTAAGACATGTCTCGTTAAATAATTTCAACAGGTTTTGTCTACTTATTTTAAATAGGATCCTCTCATAATTAGGGACAAATTTATTAGTATCCTTATTAAAGGAAGAAAGAAAATTGTACAGTACATTACCATAGCGTTTTTTCACTTCACAAGTAAACATTAAATTTTCTTATGAACACAACAATTTTCTGTCCTAGTAAAAACAAGACCCTGATGATGACATTGTGCTCAAGTCGAAAGTATGGAAATATTCTTGTCCGTCATTATATATTGAGATATGTCTTTTCATTATATTTTTCCAACTTTTGGATATTGAGTCTTGTACCGGTATGTTTGTGGAAGTTAGAAGTTCAAAATGTGCGCTACAGCACACAATGCTTCTACTCAAAACTCTAGAAGCTATTACTGCAAAAAATAACCAACCATTATTTAATAAAATATCATTCACCACAGAAGGCATCTTGTAGTACATATTGTATAATTATTGTGCTCACATATTTTATCAGTATTAAAAATAATAATATAATATACTATAATAATAAAAATAAAGATATAATAAAAATTAAATATAAAATTTTAAATTAATCAATAAATAAATGATCGTATTCTTTTTGTGTGGGCTCGTTCCCAATCACTGTTACACATGACGTCATGCTAGACGATTTCCAATGTTCAGATTCCAAAATAATACTAGGATAGAGACAAAGAAATTCTAACTGCCACACTGAAACCACATCAGTTCTTGATAATGACAGTGTGAGTCGAAATTACTTGGACAAAAATAACGCAATATGAACTTTGGGCAGTTTATCCAGTAATGTTAAATACCCAACTCCTTATTCGAAAAAATTGAAAAATACAATAAAAATAAACCGACACATGTTGTCGGTTATTTTAAATCAAAGTTATATATATATATATATATATATATATATATATATATATATATATATATATATATATATATATATATATATATATGTATATATGTATATATATATATATATATATATATATATATATATATATGTATGTATGTATGTATATGGTGAGAGAGAAAAAGACAGTAAGAGTCAGGCAAAATGTATAAACATTTCAGGAGGGAAAAGTTCTGCATATTGTAGTACTAAAGATATTGAGACATCACGAGATTAATAAAAGTTATCTTTGAATTCTACTATCGACAAAATGCCCAAATGGTGAACTTTAGCTCCCAGACATTTATTACTATGGCAAACTAATGTTTGGGCAACGATGGTCAAAATGTCCAGTAGGATTGCTGTACATACACTTTCAATTTCTTGTCTTTTATAATTTTCTTTAAGGTTCTCAATATGTAAAATTCTGCAGGTATTAAATCAGAACGTGGTGGCTGAGTGGGGGAAAATTTCGTCTTAGCCAATGTCCTTGCCAATTTTAATTCAGATAAGCAAGAACGTCTAGCTGGTAAGTGTCGTGATGCTCCATCATTTCTATAAAATATCATGTATGACAGTGTTATCGCAATTTGATAAACTTAAGAATGACAAAGTTTTCCTGTCCTGAGTGTGTATCATTTTTTCTGTCTGTATATATATATTCTCACACTCCAGAATATACTTTTCGGTTTTATATAACCTACTCAGTGTTCATAAAAAAAAAAAACAATTCAATCATATCGATACAGAAAAAGAATTCCACAGCGAAAAATGATTACTAAATGAATCTCTCAAATTGAGGCGCCATAACATTCCATATCTCGTTAGATTAAATTAATCTAAGTTCCAGAATGTAAAACTGCAGTTAATATGGGCTACAGGGAATATTTCCTTCTGAAAATACAAGTCTAACACTATAGGAAAAGTTTGGAGCCACTCTCTGGATTTCGGATAATCGTCCAAAAAATTTAATCTTGCGTGTTTTTCCAAAACTATTTTACTTGCTTACTTGAGAATAAAAGCGAAACGTATATTCTGGATTATGAGAATAAAACCGAAACGTATATTCTGGATTATGAGAATAAAATTAAAAGAATATTCTGGATTGTGAGAATAATACCGAAATGTATATTCTGGATTGTGAGAAGAATTCATTTCATGCAGATTGTACATAGCATTAATATATTTTTGAGAATAGCAACGAGTCTTTCTATTCAGCACGGAGCTCGGGGTGGAAAATGTTTTCATATTTTTTCCAAGAAATGTAATGAACGTGACTAGAATTCGAACTAAGATCTCAAATTTCTCATTCTGAGCGGCCATTCATTTATCCACACTCACATCCTCGTTTCTTAGTATGAGCAATTTATTTTGAAATAAGCCTAGATGTATTTATTTTTGTTTGATATCTGTCATAAAGGAAAATAAAAGAAATGAAGTCAGCCAGCCTTTAATCTGAAGAGTACAAATATCTAGTAATTATTCACTGGAAAATAAATAAACCAACTGTCTGATGAACTCTCCTAAATTTTTTTTTATTTAAACAGATTTTTTGTTTACTTTGCCCATTATGATTCATAGAAAATGATGGCTGTTTTACGCCCCGGCTCTCTTGATATATTCTACACTAAATTCGATAGAAAAGGTGACTGGCTGTCCCAGACATGTGAAAATTTTTTCTTTCAGGTTCGCCTTTAATTTGTACACCTCAGACAAACTGGATGACAGTTACATATATAAATACCCAGCTGACCGGAAAGAAAAGAGATTTATTTACTTTCCCTTGAGATAGTAGAATCCACGGCCGGAGAAAATCCCAATATCACCCACGAGCTGACACTAATTGACGATGTCTGGAGGTGAAAGTTGTTACGTTTGCAAGATTTTGTCTCGCGTTTTTAGTAGTTAGCAAAACGGTAACATTAAAATTTAATTACTGAGAATCCGGAAAGGTGTAGATCTGTCCAATGAAACGTAACGATTGTTTATCAAGTTAGTTAATTTATATTGATTCTGTTTTCAAATAGATATTTACTAGACTTTGATAAACTTATAACATAGGTTCTATAATAGACCACCTAATGAGGATTAAGCTGCATTATCTTTTAAGTAATTAATATTAAACAACGATTTGAATCTAGAAATTTATAATTAGGCGTTCATTTTTTTTAGTATGATAAATCAAATGACACTGCCGCTTTAAAAATTGATTAAATTTCTAGGGAAATAAGTTTCCTAAGTCCAGTAGATATTATTAAACTTTCTGTCATAACCATTTTATTTGAAGTAATTTGAAATGTCATTATTTTTCTCTTCGAGATTTTGAATCATTTCGCCCCAAGTAAAGGATAAAGCCACTAGAATGCAAGATGAAAATGAGTGTTAAAGAATTAGAAAAAAAAAATGCCATTAAGGAGAGAGGACAATAAAAGAACAAGAATTAAGAAGATAAACAGTAAGGATTTAGAATCTTTCACAGAAACTGCAACTCAACGCCGCTCCAGCACAGTTGTAGAATGAACTACATGTCAACAATAAAACTGTTTTAACAAACATATAGTCGCTTGAGAAGGTTGCCTGCAAAAACTTAGAAATTAGTTAGCTGTCCTAGAAGACGAGCGTATTCAAAAACCAGTAGCTGACCATTATTTCTATCTATCTATCTATCTATCTATCTATCTATCTATCTATCTATCTATCTATCTATCTATCTATCTCATTTTCTAACTCTATCTATTTATCTATCTATCTATCTATCTCAGTTTTTTCATTCAATCTTCATCTATCTATCTATCTATCTATCTATCTATCTATCTATGGAAAACATCATATCTATCTATCTATCTATCTATATCATCTCATTTTGTTCATTATCTATCTATCTATCTATCTATATATCTATCTCATTTTGTTCATTATCTATCTATCTATCTATCTATCTATCTATCTATCTATCTATCTATCTCATTTTATTCATATCTATCTATCTATCTATCTATCTATCTATCTATCTATCTATCTATCTATCTATCACTTGAATTTACGGAGGTCTGGTATTGTTATGCAGTGTCTGTATAACATGCATTGTAACTTCGATAAATGAGGGTTGCTATGGTGTAAGGTGAATGTATTTGAGACTAGCATGGTTAGAATTTTCTTTATCAGCCTTTAAAATAGCCAAAGCACCAGATATGCATAGGCCAACTAGGCCCTTTGCAGATGGGATGTTAACATGATGGTTGACTTCTGCTAGAGAATCAAAAGAGAGGAGATTTTGTAAAGTACCGTAAGTTTCAAAGAAGAGAAGATTTATAAATTTGGATGGAAAAAAAAATTTATTTTTCATTCCTTTTGACGCAATTGATTACTGACTGTTAGAGAATATAACAAAAATATGCCATTAAAGAGAGAGGCAATAAAGATCAAGAATAAAACGAAACGATTGACATTGCATTTAATTTTTTTGAAGTTTAACGTGGATTTGGAATCAAGGAGCCAAAGCGTGTTTCAGAAACGAGCAGTGTGATAGAAGAAACTGTTAGCATAGAACTTACGGTTACATCAAACCATTTCAATTGTATACTGATGTGTCTTTTTCCCTCTAATCTAGTCCTGCGCTTAAATTCATAAAGTCTAAGTAAAGATAATTTATCAGAACAGTTACTATGAAATTATTTAAAGAAAATGCACAAAAAACTACATTACAACGGTGGGAAAGTGACAGAAGTCAAGACCCAATGTCAGGACGAATAATATTCCTGATTCTTTGATTTTATCAAGAATCTCCAAATATATAGCAAAAGCAGCAGACCATATGCGGCAACAATATTCAAACCAGGGACGAATCCTTGACTTATGCATATCTAAAATAGATTCCGGTGAGAAAGATCGTCTAGCACGATATGGCGAACCAAATTTTCTTACTACAGACATAGTGATTTATTCAATACTAGCAGTAGAGCCCGGCGTTGCCCAGGGATGTAACAGTAAAAGATAGATCAAGTATCGACCATCATAAAGACTGAAAATAAAATTGACAAAGATTATTGTTTAAGGTTGACGGACACGCATGTCTTAATTAGGTTTTTTTTTTTTTTTTTTTTACGAATTGGTCAAACCAAACTCAAAAAAAAAACATTGTTTTCAATCGTTATGAGTCTACTGATTGAATAGAATTTTATTATAAACAATTGTCTTGTAAATGGAATTTTAAAGCATTCTGAATGTAAAAAAAAAGAAAAAGTGTGCAAGAGAATAAGAAACACTACCTGCCAAAAAAAAAAAAGAAGTTTTGAAATGGTTGAAAATGTAGGAAATCCGATCCCATATTTAAAGGAACCCACACACAAAATAAGTAGCCCGATGTGAGTTGTCCCCTTTCATTCTCACGATGTCTCTTAATCGTGTTTTCAAATTGATTTTGTGAAAAAACAATTGTATTTTTCCCATTTTTGGCGCTGTTAGAACCACCACAAGGTAATTTTATGTAGTCCTGTGAAGTTTTGTTGAAATCGGTTGAAAAATGTAGGAAATCCGATCCAATATATAAACTTTACAGACACACACACACACACACACACACACAATCTGCGTTTTATAATAAGTAAGATACAATTCCCACTTCATGTCAGCGGGAAATGTTACTCAGAGAAGGCGCAGTGTTTTTACTTTTAATGAGGTTAGCATCAGCTATAGTGATGGATAGTAAAAAGGGTTTTCTCAGTGCAGTTTTATTTTTTTGATTTTAAAATTAAAAGTCATCCTTACCCATTTAACAAGAGATTGTAAGTCATTTTTGAGATCAGCTGCCAATTTGGCGTTATCAGAGCGATCAGACATACTATTAAGACAGGAGTAAATACCTGTGTCATCAACATAGATACTGAGCTGACGAATTATGTCATTTATGATAACTAGGAACAACGTAGATACCAGGATAGAGCCATGGGGGACTTCTTGTATTAATGCAAAAATGTTATAATCGCTGTCCATTTAAGTTGATCAATGTCCTCAAGTTAGGTGGTTTTTGTTGTGCCTAGGGTTCTTTGTTTGTGATTATGTAACGCCAATCCACAAAGGTCGAAAATGTTGGTCCTAGCTGAGATCTATAGGTTTCATCATCTCAAAGCCATTTTAACCATTTATCTTAGAAAGCGACTGCATACAGCTGACAGTTTAGATATTTCTGAACCGATATAACGTTTATATAAAGGTCTTGATAATGCAATAATACTAATGAACATGACACTAGTTTTTTAGGTTAATGTTTTCATTTTTCAGCGGTGATATGAAAACTCTGACACATCTTATTTTAAGTTCAATCTACTTATCTTTCATGTTAAGTTCATTATAACTGATCCATGGAGGCTTTAAAAGGATAAAATGGTAAAAGATTTAGGGGTTAAAACATACTAGCAGTTCAAAATTAACTGTAATCTCATTGAAAAGAATCCATAACTAATAAATTTACCATGAATATTACTTTGTCATGAAGATGAAAATTCTGTCTACATTCGACTACGGCTAAGTGGCCCATCAATCAAGCGGAAATTGATCGCAATTATCTTATTGATGTCACGACAATCAGGAAGTGACTTTATATTATTTGGATGTTGGCAAATAATCGCCGTAATCTGATTTAGTCGAGAGCAATTTCACTTTAGCGAAACAATGGAAAAGCAGGAAAAGCAAACAGTAGCCAACGTGATGGTTTCGTAAGTGTAATTAATCTGCTATATAGGGACACTATTTCGATATGGATACAAGATAATGTTTTCAATTGATTTCATCTTGAATAATACTTGTTAAGATAAGATCTATTTCAATATATCGATATCTATCTATCTATCTATCTATCTATCTATCTATCAAAATAAAAATATATTTGCTCTTCTTATTTCATCTATCTTTTCATATATGGATATTTTTTATGTATTTGTTTATGTATGATTATTCCCTCTACACACACAAACATGCATTAACACACACACACACACACACATACATAAATATATATATATATATATATATATATATATATATATATATATATATAATGGACCCTCCATTTGGTTTCGACGTATGGGGATCTGACAACTTTAACCAATTGATTCAGCTATGAATCTTGTGCGATAATCTTAAAGTGGCACCTAAAGACTCATTCAAGTAATTTGCAAAAATTGACCACATATGAGGGAGGGCTGTGGGATGAGATCATTGTTAGATTGACTGGCATTTTAGATTTTGCTCTCGCGTCATGAAGATGATTCAGACTAGCAGATTGAAAATTGCTGAATCCGCTAAAATACGTTGATCTCCAATCTACCCGCACCAAGGCTAAACGCTCGAGGGTATTATTTCCTTTACATTGACAGCTGACAAATTGATCTTCAGCTTGTCTTTCTATCTAAGACATGGGCGTCCTACATTCATGTAGCCCTGATCTGACTGGCTCTATATTAGGATCTTGTGTCCCTATCCTCAGACATTGTCAAGACAAGCCCAGTACACCGTAACTGAGTCTGTATGGAGGAAAATCTAAATTCCTCCGATATTACACCTGTTAAACCTGTCTACATTGGATGTCCTGTCTTGAAGGCTAACTCCACATATTTATATAAGACAGCACTTATGGAAAACATCCAACTGGCGTATATGGTACCTGCATGGTGTCCACGACTCTGAGCCGAGACAAAAGAATGGCAATGACAACAGCTCTGTAAACCCGAATTTTCGTATTCAGTCGGATACCCAGCTCATCCCAAAGCGATGGCGAAGTTTGCCGATGGCACTGGTAGCCATAAAATCCGATGCATGATTTCATCATCTAAAGTTCCACTTTAGTTGACTTTTTTACCAAGACAGGTGAAAGGCTTTACATTACTTTTCAGGGGTTTGTCTTCTACTTTCAATGGTCTCTGGAAATTTGTAGACTGGTGTCGAAATTTGTAGACATTGAATTGAGCTCGTAGTAGGACAAGGTTTGTGAGAACTCTAGTTTTTCTTTTTGCTAAGTGTAAGACCAAAGGCTTTACTTGCAACAGAGAAACGATTTAGTAAATTTTGGGCATCCTCAAAGGATGTCGCAACAAGAACAACAGCATCAGCAAACAATGAATCACGGAGAATTTGGGTACGAAGGTGCATCTTGGCTTTGAAGCGCTGATGATTGAACTGAACTGAAGATATAAAAAGAAGAATGAAACCAAACGTTTGTGGTTGTAATGTGGATTTTAAAAAAAATATTATGCTTTATTTTTCATAATTTTGCTACACGTGTTTCCGGTCTTGTGAGCTCATCAGCCAAAGCGTGGAGATTTCCGTATTATTAAAAATAATTAATTTTTTTTTTATGGTTGTCGATGTTAATTATTCTCCATTTGATTCAATTTTGTTTTAAATGTCTCCCTTAATTGGCACAAAAAAAGTTCTATATTAAAAATTAACAATCACGATTTGAACATTCATATTATTTTAAATAATGGAAATTCCACGCTTTCAACCTCTGAAGGTCGCGAGACCGGTAAGACGTAACTGAAAACAGAATGGAAAATAAAAAAAGAATATTTTTTTTAAAAAATAAACATGACAACCGGAAATCTTTGTGGTTTCTTTTTTTTTATATATTTTTTCTCTCGTTGAATTAAATAACCTAGTCTCTCTCTCTCTTCTCTCTCTATATATATATATATATATTCATATATATATATATATATATTAGTATGTTTTTCCTTTTTAAACTATTTTTCAGCTAGATTATTTTTTCTCCTTTGCATTAAAATTTATTTGTTACTTTTATCGGAATATGCATTCGAAATAATTCCGTGAAAAAGTATTAAATATTACCATTAAAAAAATAAACTAATTTTTCATGTATCCATTTGTGTTTTTCTGATGAATGTTTAGGAATGTCATCGTTACTGAAAGAAATTAAAATATTGTTAGAAACAAAGAAATTAGCATTTATAAGATGGAAATAACATATGCTATATATGTTTTAGATTAAATGAACAAACGAATATATGTTTTTTGTTTTGCATACAGTCGCAATAATCCCACAGTATCACAGTATGGCATTGTCGTTATTTAGAACTAAAACCATTATTCAAACTTGATTTATTCCCTTAATGAGTCTGCTCATGTCAAATATATGCATGTATATAAATCCATGACAGAAAAAAATCCAAGCATAAATAAACGTTGCATTTTATTCCAATTATATATATATATATATATATATATATATATATATATATATATTTATATATATATGTATAATAACATTGTATATATATATATATATATATATATATATATATATATGAATAGAGGATGGGGTAAAACATTGTGGGTATTCGATGCGTATTTTTATTAAAAAAGTGTCTCAAATCATACCAAAGTCTTCTGAGAAGGTAGAGTGGTAGAGACAATGACCCGAGAACCCCCGTATAGGCATGTGCTAATACGAAGGTACAAATAATTCTAACCGGGGGTTGAACGTAGTAGATAGATAATGAGCTGAAGAGATAGATAGATAGATAGATAGATAGATAGATAGATAGATAGATAGATAGATAGATAGATACTGGCCTCGTTTAAACTATCACGTTCAATAACGCGATCTCTCACAGAAACGGTAACTCAACGCCGCTCAGTATAGAGTTGTAGAATGAACTATATTTGAGCAATATGACTGTCGAACAAACGCATGATCATGAGAGAAGACGTCTACAACAGGGATTGGTTAGCTGCCCTAGAAGACGAGCGTGTTCAAAACCATTATATATGTCTATATCTTCTGACCATTATTTATTTCTATATCTCATCCTGTCGCTATGTCATCTATCTATTATCATTCATCTATCTA